TTAATTTTATCATTATTTCAAACCTATATGCTAGTGTGTGRTTTTCTCCCATATCATCAGCAACATGTGCTGAATAAGATAAGAAAAAGGGAAAACATATATAAAAATAAAAACAGTGTTTTGTACTCTAGTTAATCCAAATCTTTTTATAAGTTGAATAGCATCAATATTTCTTTTGTACAAATTGGATAGCAAGGCATCGATCGACTGGATTGCCCGGGGCCGTGTGACAAATCAATGGTAGATTTAGGAATCGATTTTGAAATCTGAGATTTGTGTTAGTTCCATGAGGTTATGTCTCACTTCCAACAGCAACATGAAGGGAAATATAAACTTTATTTGAAAACTGAATATTCAACAGGAACAGAGAATTGCATCATGCTCTGAGTTTCTTTGAAGTGTATATTTTCATGATCTCTTTAATTATAGGTATATCAGAAGAAGGTAACAGTAATCTTGAGTGTTTCCATTCCTTTAAGGCCCTTAATTTAAAATGGGCTACCATCTTGATTAATAACAAAACTCATTTGAAGCCAGCCTGACAAACATTAAACAGATTAGAACCTGACTGTAAGTGGCCGTGAACTTATGATGATAAATAAGAAATCAGCCTCACCGAACAGTCATAGTTCTGTGTGTTTTCTGCCTTGGAAAGAAAAGGTGTTTTCTGTGCTATTCTTGTGTTTTGGGAGATTTGTTTATAGAAACACCCTAGACAACCAAATTGTCGCCAGTGAAGCTTGCACATGCCACAAAAACTGTGATACATGAAATAACGACAAGCACAGTCACTGAGCTCACACATCTCTGTGAGTGTTTCGGTGAGGTCAAACATGAGGACAGACAGAGAGACCTCCCAAAGGAGGTCATAGGAAGAGAGCAGAGCTTCCTGTTGGAGCGGTAGCTGTGAAGAAAATACCCATATTATGGTAGGCAGAGTAGCTTGGTAGCGTGGTAGCATTTAGAGGACTCATTTAGATATATAAACAAGAACATGAAGTGCTGGTCGAGAAGTGATACCACTTTTGTATTTCGTGCTTGTGTGGCTGCTACAGTGGAGCTTCCAGGTCTGGGATTCACACTTGAGTAAAAAGATGACAAATTGAAGAGGGCACAGAGAAGAGCCACAGACTAATTAAAGGATTAGAAAAACATGCTTTCTGCAGAAAGACTTAGGAGCTCAATTTATTTAGCTTATCAAAGAGAAGGTTAATGGGTGATATGATCACAGTCTCTAAGTACCTACAAAAGAAATAAAAATTTGATAATAGAGGGCTCTTCAGAGTAGGAAAAAAAGGACTTAACAGGAACTAATAGATGCTAGGTGCTGCAGTGAGACAAATTCAGGCTGAAAATAAAGCATGATTTTCTTTTTTAAACAATGATGACAGTTGTTCACTGACTTGAGTTATAAAGGTGACAGTAAGTTTTCCATTAGTAGACTTTTTTAAGTCAAGGTAGAAAGCTTTCTTTTTAAAGACATGGTCTTGTTCAATCTCTTCTCCCAGACTTAAGGAAGTAATTAAGACAAGAAARTTTAAGAACTGTATTAAAGGGAGTTCATACCAGAGAACCACAGTGGTAGCCTCTGGGTGTTGTAATGATGATGAAAAATGTGTTTCTTTTAAAGTATCAGTCCGATTCAGTCTGCATACCCTGGCTGTAGCCTGGCAGTGTCTTAGGTCTTGTCCCGTTCRTGAGGCTCATCACCAACCCGTCTTGTTTTCGTGGGGCTACTCRCATAGATCAGCACTGGCATACTCAGTGCTGGGAGGGTGAAAGCTTTTTGTGGTGATAGTAAGTCATGCCAGCACTAGAAGTGTTTGCTTCTACAACCTTTCCCTCCAGCCCCTCACTTGCTACTTCAGTAATCCAAGATAGGCACATAAGTAAAATTGAATCTCATGCATGTTTCTGTGTCTCAGCTTTCCCATCATTTGCTAACAATTTGGACTTAATTATTCAGAGAAGTGCAGTATCCCTTCTTTTACTCCTGCTCTGTCCATTCCTCCCTCTTCCACATGGTTCCTTCCACTTTGGGCTCATTTCTGGCTTAAATGGATTTGCTTTCTCTGTACCTCATTTTCCAGACAAAGTTTCCTGTGAAGCTGTGTGTTTCTGCTCCATATCCACACAGCTTMTGTAGTGGCAAGGGATAGGATGAATGCTTTGGTTTCTCTTATATGTTTCACTTTATTATATGTTAGCTCACTATATATGTTTACTAGTTCGATACATACTATTAAGACATCAGCCATCCCTAAGGGGAAAGAGAGTTCTCGTGGCTTCTAATCATGGTACATGCAATTTCCATTTGAATGTTTCATCTGCAAAGTTTACCTACTATCGGTTATGCTGGTTGAGTAAGTCTGTGACATGATCATTAGTAGCAAATGGTCGACAGCATGCACTCCGAGACTGTCCATAATAATGACTCTACAATRTCAAAAACAGAAGAAAGGGTAATTCTAGGGAGAGTTTTCAAATCATGTTAATAGGGTTCTGACTCATCTTTGCACAGCAGTCCTTTATTAAACTATCTTTCATAGCTACTCTTTCATGTAAGTGTGAGATTTTGTGGTACTCTTCTCTGGAACTAGGTTCTGGTTAATGATATGAAGTAGCTTTTTGTATGCAAAAAATATTTTAGCCCATATAACCCCTTACTCAGAGCTCATTCTTCAGAAGGTTATTTCTTTGCTAAGATGCCTGTAATTTAGTGGAAGTAATAATAGACTGTGTGCGTTTTATTCTGGATTTTTAAAATCCTAGTTTAAGCGATAAGCAATTTATGCAATACCTTGAGGTTCCTTGACACACTGGAATTGAAAGAGGAGAAATGGAAGGAAATGACAAATCTTTTCTGCTTTCTTTTTCCACCCTTGTTTATGATTTTTCACTCATGAAGTATTTCTCAACATGTGGTTTTCAAGAAGCTGGGTTTGATTAATGAAGTGTCAGATACAGAGGATGTCATGAAACTTTGGCATTTATTGTTTGTATCTTTTAAATTAGCCATAGTATTTCAATATTCTTTATTTATTATTTAGAGTACATTCTTTTACAGTAAATGTCAATATATAGCAAATTTTGATCACTTGATATCTACTAAAAGCTAATATTTATACAGAAATGATACAGCTCTCTATTTTCCAATACTAGCTATGCAGATGTAGCATTTCTATGAAAATCCTTTCATTTTAGAAATCCACATCAAGAAATGTGTTTGCTTTTTATAAAGATTTAATGTAATTTCATAGTAGATGTAGCCTTCCTTTAGCAGTGCTGATAATTTGCTGTTTACTTCACGATGTTAAAAGGAGTCAAATCTTTTTTATGTCTGTATATATTTATATGGAGTCTTTGTAAAGTGTGCCAAATTACCAAAGCAATAGTGATTTTTGTAACATAGATGCTCATATTGCGTGTTAAGGCATTCAAAATCATTCTGTGTAGAGTGTAACGGACAGCTACCAAAGCCTGGCTAGAATTCCGTGTTTGGCAACATCAGCAAGTAAAATAATAGCTTAGTCATTAGGTTCCTTGTTAATTCGCTGCTTTGGTCATCCGGAAACATATATGGTAAATAATAGATTTAAATTTTATTACGTCTCACCAAATAAATAAATAAATAAATCTTTCCAGATTTTAATTTTACTGGGAACAGCTCTTGTGAGAGCCACTAAAGTGAGATGATTCTCTAGGGTTTTACTTCTTTATATGGGAATTCCTATTGGTATAAATAGTGGATATTTTATATTTGTATGTTCTTCTTTCTTTTGTGTACTTATATAACATTTTTATGAACAGTTTCACTGCTGTAGAWTGGTAGAGAGATTTTTGAGTTTTGATGCATCCCACTTGCGTGTCAGTCTTGGATGTGCGCTCTTGCAGCTCTACCTAATGTTGAGTGGCTTAAGGGATTAATGGGACCTTAGGTGTTAACTCCTGTACAAAAGGAGTTRGACAAAGAAGGATTATTTAATTTAAAAGGTGGCCAAGTTACTACTTTTACATTGTGTGTGTGAATACATTAAACATATCTCCCAAGTAATGCTGTTCCTTGCTTGTCACTGAGGAACTTTTCCTTACCCAAGTGAAAAACCAAACCCTGCCTGTTTCTAGGCGCCCTTGTCGTGTTGGTCTTTCCAGGACATGTTGTACCGTTCGACAGGGCTCGCGATACTGCCACCATACACAAAACTACCCGTCAGTCCCAGCACCGCAGTCGAAGTGCTCGCAGTTCCAGAACTGCATGGTCYAGTTCCTACCCGGTGCAGAGGCTTTGGGAATTTTCTCTGTGACTTTTCAGCATGCGCTTAGTGCGAGCCACGATGCTGTGGGATCCCCTACATCATCGTTTCCGTTTTCATGGGAGATCTGGCTCCAGCCACTCGGCAGCTCATGTGCCCAACATTAAATTCACAGTACATTTACTCTCCAACAACGTTCCAGAGCTCACGGGAAATGCGGCATCCCTAGACTTCTTTAAAAACCATAAAAAGAAACAGCGAGTCGAGACTACCCTCAACCGCTGACTGAAAAAAAAAAAAAAAATCCTGTGTGGATTTTAATGCTGTTTTTTTAGTGATGCTTTAAATAGCCATTTAATTATATTATCTCTCCAGAGATGTCTTTGTATGTGTGTAGCATGTGAGCCTTGTGTAGTGGCATATTCTGGATGCTTGGGTTTGTATGTATGTCTGAGCAAATACGGATCGTGGAATATAGCCTTAAAGGTAATTAATATGACTTAAAATAATAATAATAATAACCTTAGCTCTTAAATTAAGCTGGCAGTTTCTCTGATATGATCTTTATTGCTAATATATATTTTTTTCAATTTATTATACTATTTCCTTGGACCAAAGACATTGAATTCAGACTGTTATGTATGGGGAGTTGCTACAAAAAATTCAGTGCTCCAGCTTAAATGCTAACTCCCTTTTTTCTGCTCTCTCTCTTCCCCTCTCCCTGCCTCCCCTCCCTTCCCTCCTTAGGCAGCCAAGGACAGTTTCCACTTACACAGAATGTCACCGTTGTGGAAGGAGGAACAGCTAATTTGACCTGCAGGGTCGATCAAAATGATAACACCTCCCTCCAGTGGTCAAATCCAGCTCAACAGACGTTGTACTTTGATGACAAGAAAGGTAAGTTGCTTCCTGAATTCGTGGTTCTGCATCATTTTTCGGAAAAAGAAAAACTATTTCCATTTCCACTTAATATTTTAACATGACAATATTTGCCAGAAATAAGTGTTCATAACTATAATTATTAAATGATCTCTAATTGGCAGGTCACTCACTGAAGTGTTTTCCTCATAGTAAAACTGTATATTTACATTTTTATTTATACTTAGGCAAAACAATAATATTTGAAATTCTTATTACAAGGCATTTTGGAAAATATTGCAAAATATCTCAGGAGAGTATTTGTGGATGATGAGAGGTTGATAAGGGAAAGAATAGTCCATAAACTTGCTTTAATTGCTCTGTATATGTAGGTGTATATTTATATTTTGCTTCAGGTGTACTGGAGTTTTGTTTCATTGGCAGTGTAGTATGTAGTTGCTATGATAAAAGCAGTTATTGCAACAGTCAAATCAAAATTACTTCTTTCTAYATAAATACCAAAAAAAAAAGCCAGTACTTTTTTAAAAAGGCATTGTCAGTGCAGTAGGATATATCTCTACGATGTATGTCTTCATCTGAAGTGAAAAAGAAAATTATTTTATTTTACATAACATAATGTTAACTTAAAGATAACTTTAGAGTCCATAAAGAAATGAAAAATAAAGTTCTGAGGAACAAAGTCTCCACCTTGCGTCAGAAATGCAAAGACTTTGATGTTGCTTTCCATGGTACAGTTGAACAGTATTTCATACTTAATTGATCCTTATTCTGAAAGGTCCTACATACTGTGGGACTTAATTTAAGAAATGCAGTTGCTCCTCTGCTTAAAATTAAGTGCTTTCCTAATGCTTTGCTGGATGATTACAAAGATTTTGCGACACCTTGCAGGATTGAATTTCATGAAGTAAATGCTTTGTGGTCTATGCACTTGAATGGAAGTAGAGTGTAAAACTTGCCATTTTATAACTTCAGAAGCTGCAATCATTTTTTTTTTTGAATTTTTTTTTAGTTGAATTAAATCTCCTTTTGGTATTGAAGTGGTTCCTTTTTCTTTTATCTAATTTCCTGTAGTGTGTAATCATTCGACTTGTAATTTCTCTGAAATCTTAAGTACCTTGTGAATGTAGGGCTGAATATGAGAGGTTTATAAGGCGCAAACTTTTGTGCCCAAAGTCTAATCCTGTAGACTTTCTCATATGGAGTCCTTTATTTTATCTCTAGTATTTAGTGATGTGGAGTGGGTAAATAATAACTCCAAAAGCAGGGAGAACCCATCTCTTAGAGGACATGCATGTAAAATATCTTCTATACCTTCTGTAAAATACGTGACATTTTAAAGGATGTCAAGAAGCACACAAGAGGACTGCAAATACATTAATWTTATCTATGCAACCATTTTGCTATGAGCTTTATTTGTTGTATACCTTAAATCTCTACTTTTAAAAGCATAATTAACATTTGTACTACTTTTTAATATAATGAATTGAAGGAACAGAATTTGATGGTGTACAGCATAGGAAGTACTTAAAAGCAATCTATATTCCCCCCAGGAAATGTGAGGAGTTGAAGTGTGTAAACTGAGGGGACCACAGTCTTTATTGAACTTTTAGCTCTGTCCTAGAGACTATGAGGAACACTTGAGGATTAGTTTATAGAGGGATTACTGTGCATCTGTTATACAAGAAAATGTCTAACATAATAAAGAAAAAAGTTAGGTCCTTCAAGCAGAGATACTTAATCTTTTTACACTGACAAAGCTTTGCATTCTGCCTGTGACATTTCCAGGCTTGAGTATACCTAGGGGAGTGAGCAGCSTAAGTCCTACGTGGAAAGCTTTCTGGTATCTCTCAAAATGGATTTACATTCTTTTTTTCTATGTTTGCATATTTATGTTCTTAAACTGATAGATAGAAGGGATTTCCTTTACAAAGTGATGCTTTTGATACTTGGATTATTGAGCTACCACAGGAGAGTATCTACTAGTTCTGATGTCTTGGTGATACTCTTATTAATGATGCCGTGTACAACTGAAACGGCTTATTTCCTCTCTTGTCCCCACTTGTCCCAGACAGACCTACAATTTGGCCGTAGAAAGCATCTTTCTAGTAGGTCCAGTCATTCAATTTAATTTATTGAGATTGGTGCCTCACACTAAGTTTCCTTCAAACATACCTCATAGGGTTAGTCAAAATTGACCTTAACATCTTACTTCTCCTTTCAGCATCATGAAAGCCACTGTCAAAACTCTGTTTCTCAACCCCTGAAAATTCAGGCAAGACAGTGAGAAGGAGGCCACAGAGTAGGATTAAGTTCTGTGTAGGAAACAGAAACTTGTCTCCATCGATAGAGTTCATACCCATTAGAGTTATGTAACTCTGGATATTGTCAGTTTTGAAACTGATCTAAAATCATATTTCTTTACCAACTTTCAGTAACTGTCCATGTGATCATAAGGATGACATGCAGAATACATTTATGGCTTGAAGCATATTAAAAAAAAAAGAAAGAAAGAAAAAAGAGGAGAGAGAATTCTATTGGATTTTCCTATGTTTTAATAATTATGAGAGATTCAGGTAACACAATGAAGGAAGTCAAGAAAGCATTAAAAGAGGGTCCTTGCTGCAGCAGCAGTTGAGGAAGATGACAACTGTCAGCATGTGGCAGAACAGGTACCAAAAATAGAGCAAATTGTCCATGCAGKGAAAACCTTCTCCACAAGATCGTCCTTGTTGAGACTCCATCATGTTTGTTTTTTTCATAAGCAAGTTGGTTTCTCTCTCTTGCAAAGGCCTTTTCTGACAGAAGTAACATTTGGAGTATGTGAGCAGAAACAGTCATTTGGTCAGATGGGAGGAAATGTCTGTCTCTTGAGTCCTGTGCCTTTTGACAAGGGGATTACTATTAGTCTCCATTTTATTCAAAATGGATGACATATACTATAAAAAGGACATTCATGTCATTTTACTTCTGAAATGTGATTCAGTCATTGACGTTGAACTTAGAAATCCTGTTCTTCTTTTTTATAATTTAGATATTCTGGCTAAGTATGGAAGTGGCACTCAGTTGGCACTGAGTCAAATACAGTGCAGCTTTTGCTGTTAATATTGCCTTATTCTTCTGGTTCTCCTTAAATACTATAATTCTTGCATGCCGTTAACTACAAATTTTTCTCAGTTCAGGAAGGTTTTACGGCTGGTAAGGACATCTCCTTCCCTTCCCTTCCCTTCCCTCTCCCCCGTGCATACAAACCAATTGAATATTTATGAAGATAAACACATGTAACAAAGACTGTATTTAACTTGAGATATTTTTGGCACCTGGCCTGTATAATCTTGGAATGATACCGACGGTAAAAGAGGAATAGGTATTTGCTTTGGGAAGGCCAGTGCAATGCATTTAGTGAATGTGAGACCACAGGTCTGTGGTGACTTTCAGATCCTCATTACTTGAAGTAGAAATTTTATTATGTATTGTAATTTTAGGGCTAGTATGTATTCAATTCATTATCATGATGCAAATGGGAGAAAAGAAATCCAAAGAGGTTTTCATTTCTGTCCTAACTGCATTTGCAGGACATGTTTTTTTAGGAAAAGTAGTATATTGCTAAGGCAAATATTACTACACACTTTTCTCTTATCCTAGTTTGCTGACTGTTATTAGTTGGTAAGTTGTACTGGAAATTGCCTCAAATGTGACTTATTTTCCTKGGATAGACAGGTTACTGGAGTACAAGGAAATGAGCATCAAATAGCACAGACAGCTGTGCAGGCTCCTTGAGAGTCCCAAATCCTGTCTTCATTAGGATTTTGACATGTTCTTCCTAGTAAAAAATTGAGTGTGAAAGTCCTGAAAGAGCATATGAATGTGCATCTGTGTGTCTTTTTTCCTACCTTAGAAAAGTAAGTTATAGCTGTATTTTAATGGCTAAGTAACCTAAAACATTAGCATCACTCCAAGTCTTATGTTGACTCTCTAAGATGTTTTAAAACTGGAAGGAACTTTGTTATCATTATTATTTTAACGCATGCTAGGTAAAACATGAAAATAAATACACTTTATCTTGTGGATATAGTCTCACCGATGAGTTATTATTCTCAGTGTAGTATTTCATTGTTGTCCTTCTTTGTACTGTGTCTTTTCTTCTTCCTCTAACTTGTAGCTTCAAGGACGCTGTGTATCCATTTAATTTTTAACTGTTAAACTATTCCATTTGAGGCATAAAATCTTTATGTGACAGTAAAAATTAAAGAGAGAGTTGATTCTCAAAAACAGATAAATGGTCTTAATCTTGAAATGACTAAATAGATCTTAACAGAGACCCCTCAGGTAGCTTTGTCCTCCTTCTATTCCCATTCCCTCCCTGGCCACTCCCCCAGACAGAATTTTGAATATTATATCTTGCTGGAAAATATGAATTCACAAATCACCCTGAGCAGGTTCAAATTCTTTGGAAAACAGATGCAAATTGCATGCTGCACATGAGAGTTTTTCCCTACACAATTTTCAATTAAAATGAATAATTACCATAGCAGCCTCCATATCACTTTATGCACCCAAGTACCTATAATTATATAGCTGCCTTTGGAGGAAGCACAACTTGCAACAATGCAGAACTGGCAAATACAATTTTAAATTAATATAGGTTATTTTATTCCATCTCCGCTGGTGGTACTTCTTGAGGATGTGAAATAGGCAGTGAACAGCAAGGTATAAATATAAATGCAGATGTATATCAAAAATGTTGTACYGTGGAAACACAGAGATGGTTGATAAAGAGTAGACTTAAAAGCACCTCCATTCAGCTTGCTATTGCAGTCTCTTCTGTTCTCTTTTGGCAGCAGATACAGGTAGAGATAGAGCAGGCTTTTGTATTATAAAGCACAGGTGTTGCTCCTATGTACTGTACAACTCAATGATGGTTGTTGATGCTGAAGTAGTTTGATCTCATCAGTATAGAAATGTGCAATCAGACCATATATATATTAAAAAAAAAAAAAAGAGAGAGAGATGGTATCTGC